GTGGGACTGGACTTGGGATGTGATGTGAAGATACATGCATGTCCTACGCCAGCAGAGCACAATGCTATTTACATGAGCAGTTAGAGGACATGGAGCAAGACCACTGAACTCACACGAAGGCTTAAGTTAAACGGTGAGAAAAGTTACTCTCCCATTACTGTTGGGGTTCTGGCCACTGGTGTGTTTCATCTCTGTGATATATTTCTCTCCTACCCCCCCACCATCAATACTTACTCACATGTATTAGGCCTATCTTCATATTAGCTTCTGCATTTCACTCAGCTGTAGAATGACTTTTTCTACAACAATCAGAAATGAGCAGTTTTACCTGCTTCTCTCTACATTAAATATGTGTGTATATAAATCCTTTATATGCATAATTCTTTTCCTAAATTAAATTTCAAGTAGGAACAGAAAGCCATGCAATTACAACAAGAAAGTAGGGCTACAGGTACATTTCTCACCCAAGCTCAGCCAGAATTGTCAACTTAAAACCCCAGCCCTGCATTTCCACTCTGGCCAGTGGCAGGAGGCTAGGCCATACATACCTTTGGTACTAAAATCCTAGCTTGTGCTTTAACGAACTTTTATAGATGTTTGGAAGGCTGATAATATGGAAAGTCCTCTCTAAGATGAAGCAGACAAGTTTTTTGGGTGATAATCATTATGTTTTTAGTGTTATGGAAATACTGAAGCAAATATGCTACAGCTTACGGAGTTGACAGCAGCCATACAGAGTTACCAAGAAGATTTAAGAAGAAAGAAGTCCTAGTTACATCTCTACTAACATTCAAGACTATTCTTTGACTATAGGTTTGGACTTGTGCACATGGCACATTTTGCTTTCATGCTACTAAGTACGTAGTTTTAAAAGTGAAATAGTAGGAAGAAGAATACTTAAGATGCTAAGTTATGTGGATGAGAGGGAGAGCAAAGCAAACGATAAAATAAGACAGTGTACTTATCCCATATTATCGGATTAAAAGCAAGAAGGAAGAGGGTTAAATCTTTTTCTAATCCTTATTTTTTTAATTAAAAAGAAGCTGTCACATACCCAAACCATCCCACATTGCTGCTACCAGCAGATCCAATGATACCATGCTATCCCAGAGTCAATTTTAATAGTTACTTCCCTTCTGAAAGTTAATTTAATAGGAAAGTATGTGAAAGAGGGTAATCAAACAGCTGCTTTGTGACCTGGGTAGAAGTGAGTGCGTGATAATCTGCTAGTTCTTAGCAAGCAATTGTTTACTTCACAAAAACAGGCAGTAACCACTGCTGTTATCTAAAGAATTTCCAAGAAGAGACTAAGCCACACGAAATAAGCCATTTCCCTGCAGCTTCCAGGCACCAGCAAGCAGATCACGAGCTGCCACTGCTAGCAGCTACGCATGACTTGTGTGAACAGTGTCAGTCTGTAGCAATGAGGACACAGCCCTTTCTTCTATCACTGACTTCAGCAACTGTAGCTTCATGAAAGCACAGAAAAATGGAAGGAAACACGCAAGTGCTCAGTTACCACCACAGAATAACCAGAGCTGTTTTCACAGGTGCTGTAAGCAGAAAAACACTGAAGCCACATCATCAGCTCCATGATGTTACACGTACTCACATGATTGAGAAATTTGCTGTCTTTGGTAGCCCACCCTATCTGCATCACTCCCGAAGTAACGACTGTAACTTCATAGTACCAAACTCCAGAATCGACGCAGAACGTACATCGAACGCTTTCGAAGGATGAGGCATCACATCGAGCCTACCAAAAACAACCCAAAAGTTAGCTTTCTACAAAATTACCCTCCAAACAAGCCCCTTTCTTCCCTGGATCAAGTTTCTTGCAAATAAGAATACACCAGCACAATTTTAGAGGCACTTCAGACAGAAGGCAACCTCTCTTCATAGCAGTAATTGTCACACAAAGTAGCAACTAGGCAAGACTGAAAATTGTTCAGTGGTAAGCCACAGGGGAAAAAAAAAAACAAACAAACAAAAAGGAGAGAGCTGACAGAGTCAATTTAAAGATTTAAAGACTAAGACAAGCAAGCCAGGAAGACCTAAGTCATCAGTTGTTAGCTGACTCCTAGTACAAAGGATAAAGAGAGATTCCACATTACATGAAAATTCGTTTGTAAGTAGTTAAACGAGTTTTTAGAAAGAAGTAACAGGGGAAGAAAAAAACCTCACGGCTGAGACAAAACCCCCACTACTATGGGCTTTTCAAGACCAGACAGGACAAATAACAGGAATTATACTTTGTGAACAATTTTAGCCAAAACGAGTGAAAAGCCTGCTGGCTGTAAAGCACCCTCCCCACTTTTCTGAGGTTTTATGGCACAGATACGGGTGATACTTCACTGTGAATGTTTCTACAATTGACATCAGCGTGGTGCTGTTACAACCCTCTGACAAAGCAAGTTTTCTGTACAAAGCTGGCAGAGAACTTTGATTCATTCTAGAAAAATCACAGGACCAGGTAGCAAATAAAAATAGTTAAAACCTGCTTTTTTCTTCAGGCTCCTTTTTGGGCTGACATGATGAAGTGATATCCTACCTCTAATCCATGTGGTGAGATCTTCAGGTATTCACTGACGTCGTTACTGTTCAGCATAGCCCTAATGTTGGTCAGGTCAACCTTCTCATATGTAAACTGCCTGCCTTCTTTTAAAACTGCAAGATAAAACTAGTTTTAATCACTGCTGCAGCAAAACTTCACATTTCACACCGCGGCAATCAATCTCTCCAGGATCCAGATGATTTTGGGCACAACTGAATGAAATATTGACCTTTTGCCTGCATGAGAACAGCATCACTTCCAATGCACGGCGTGGTAAATACCCTCTAAACATCAGAACAAAACCTAGAGCTCTGACTAGAGCTCTTACAGTCTAATTGCTGCTTTCAGGAAACCCACAGGGAAACACGAGGCATCCAAGTTCATCCGAAGATGCCACTGTTCCAGGAGTTACCATTGCATTTGTATACTCAGTGGGGTAGTTTTTCCTATTCACCACACTGGAAAAGATTCTGGGGGTGGGGAAGAAGGGGAAAAGAAGGATTTAGAGTTTTTTTAACCTCTCATTTTCAGGTAGGTGAGGAACTTGAACTGTGCCAAAGCAGCTCTTTCTCCCTGCATCCCCTTTTCACACGGAAGGAGCAGAAGCATTTGTCATGCCAGGTGTCGAACTGCTGACACATGCTAGTTTGCAAACCAGAGATCTTATCTTGGGACCCTGCACATACCCCAAACTCGCTACAACACTTACACAGATGTTTACCGAACACAACTGACAACTGGCCTTCCATAAGCTGGCTAAAGCCCCATAAAAAACAAGGCATTTCACCCAAATTTACCTAAAAGGCATTTAGACGCTACAAGGAGTTGCTGCATCCTCAAAATCACAACTAAACAAGTGAATTTGATGATTGTTAGTCATCCAAAAAGATAGATCTAGCAAAGTGCTTTGTCAAACACTCTTCACTTTTGATCACAAGACTGTATTTTTACTTTTTACAAGTCTTTAATAGTTCCTTGAGACTGTGCACTGCTGGGGTATGATCACCAGGGTATCTCAGTAGTCCAGCTGTGCCACAGACAGAGCTGCACTATTTAGCTACTCAGCACGTCTGCTGAAGCATGGGGTACAGGAAATATGGTGCAAAGAAGAATTTTCACTGCAGCTCTAGCTTGCAGAGTACAAACCACTTGCTTTCACAAACATCTTCCTTGCCAAAATTTCCTTTCCATGCAATTATGCTGGATTTATTTGCCTTTTTTTTTTTTTTTTGAAGAAGAGTTATTACAAATGCAGTCAGGTATATTTACAATAAGTGCTTACACAAAACAAACAAAAAGTAGTCCTCCATCTCTTTGGAGAAGTGATTAATATTAAATGAATCCATCCCTTCGTTATACCTACACAGATTGTCTAAACTCCACTGGGCACAGAATCCAACCTGGCGTTTTAAATAGTCTGGATTATCTGTCCACTTCTCTAGCAAGATCAGTTGGTCGCTAATGCACGATTCAGAAACTGTCATTTTATTTTCACCTGCAATTTAAGAGCAAAAAAGAATAATTACTGTAAACGAAGGAGAAGCTTAGTTAAAAATAGTAACATTCTACAAACGCAGCAGAACCACCACCACCAACTTTAAACCTCAGTGTCACAAACAGCATGAAATTCTTTCCCCAAGCAGACGTGAAATTAACTTAGCACTCAGACACACCACTTCTCAGCACGAAGCTGCGCCATCAAGACTATTAGATCACAGCCAGTTCTCCAGCTCTCTAACACAGATTCATTTCTTTTCAAGTAACAAAGGTCTCATGTAATAAGTCTTTCTGTGGCAATCTCTAAACTGAGAAGGACTGAGTTGCTGCAAATCTCTTACAGGTTTGCAGGTGGAGGTGTCATTAAAGCAGTAAATATTTTTTCCTGCCTCCAAACACCCAATCATAGCTGTTCTCCATCTCCAATATAGGTTTATTTCAGTGACAAAGGCCTCATGTCCTAAGTCCTTCTACAGCAATTTCTAACTGGGAAGAACTGTGCTGAGTTGCAGCAAACATCTCAAGGGTTTTGAGAGGTAGAGGGATGTCACTAAAGCAATAATTATTTATTCTTGCCTGTAAGCAGACAAATGTTTCTGTTCTACATGTGTGTTCCCACCAATCCAGCCTTTCTCATGCTCACAATCAGCAGCAGAAGCCATAGCATGGCCGTTCAGAGCAGCATCAGGCTCATACTTACTCGTTTGTGCAAACTTCTCCAGTGCTATTAGTGCAAAAAGCATCACTGTCGGATGGGACTGGAAGTTCTAAATATGGGCGGTAAGAAAAGTTATTTTATTAACTACCCAGCAGAGATGGCTAGAAAAAGCTGTTAGTCTGCCACAGAATGCTATAGGTTGAAAGGAAGCTCAAAGTTCATCTAAGTCCACCATTCTGTTGAGATCAAGTGGCTCAGTGCCTTGTCCTTCTTCTTCTACCTACCTTCTTCTAATTATCTCCAGGGACGGAGATCCCATAGGCTCTCTACAACATACGTTACCAGCATTTACTAAACAGGCCCCTAACTTTTCACACTAACAACAAAAATCAATGGCACTGTAATTGTTATGTATGGGTACATACAAAAAGATTGAAGACACTTACCAAGCTGTGAAGTAAATATTCCAATATGCCCGGGCTGAGTAAGCCTATGCTCGCAGGACCTACAAGAACATCAAAAATTAAATCCATCCATGGGAACTACCATATACTCATCATCACACACAACTTTTAAACACAAGGCAAGAAACTAAAGAACATCCAAGAACTTAGCAGCGCAGCAGAACTATAATATAGAACAATTACCATTGTTCTCGGTCAAATATTTGTTCCACATTTAATAATCACACAGTTACTGCCAAATTACAAATACACTCAGTTTACCTGCTGTAAACGGGTACAGGGTTCTAGCTGCACTTCTGGGTTTTTGAAGCAAGGCCCCATCAGCCTCTGCTTAGTATTTTCATGCTCATTACTTTCAAAAAGAGACTGGCTTCCCCCTACTTCCAGAGTCAAAGTATAAAGACCAGCTCCATTTATCAGCAGCCCAAAATAAGCAAAACTGAGCACTGAATATAGCCTACTTGATAGTTAATTATATAATTTGCAGCAGCACCATGGCAAGCAGCCAATTAAAAAAAAAAAAAATGCCCTGAAATACTGTCTGCTTAATCAAGAGAGAGATACAAGGGAATCAAACTCTGGCATCTACAAACTCTTAACAAATTGCAAAGGGTTCCAACACAGCATTAACTGATTCGCTGCCTGAGCTGATACAATGAGAACTGTTCCATGACCACTAAGAGGCAAGTAGACACAGGATCTCATTTTGACTTAGTATGACAGGGTATAAGTATCATAGTACAAAAATGATTCCTGCCCTTGTTCTTTACTTTTTATGATAGAAATATTGAAACTATTTTTAATAACCCTAAGGTGATGCCAGACAACCACTTTTTGCTCTTTTTCCTGTCTGCTTTTAGGAAAGGAGCAAAAAAACTAGATACAAAACAGACCATCAGCAGGAAGGAAACTTAATCATCAGTTTCCAGTAGGGTACTAGAAATGACAGGGAATAAAGAGTTCTATAGGAAAAGTCCCCTTAAAATAGAATCCCAGCAATTTTCTTTTAAGTAACACAGAAGAGAGAATCTTTTCAGCTAACTACAATAGAACAATACATGTTTAGAGGGAAAAGCATCTTTCTTTTTTGTTTCTGTAGAGCCTCCAGGACTAATTTGATTCTCTTGCCTACTGGCTAAAGAACTACGTGTTCTCAGTAATTCCCACCCAGCCAGAGTAAGTCTACAGAAAAGACTGATTACCAGTGCTGAGGCAACATACCATAAACAAACACTGACCCACAGTCACAAACCATCATTTCAGGATTTAATCTTTTTAAGCATCTGGGGTTGTGAATGGCTCATTCAGACCCAAGCTAGTGAGCAGTCAACATTTTAATCAAGCAGTAGATCCTGCCACACGAGGCCTCCCCTTGATGTAGAACATTACTCAGTTCTAAGAAAACATTTCTGAACCAGTCTGCGTGGCGGGCGCTGAAGCAGAAGGTGCTCCAGCGAGCCAAACGCAAGCGTTCCAAAGAGTCCCACGGCTTTACCTGCTAACTTCTCTGCTAAGCAGCCCAGTACCGCAGTTGTATTCCGGTGTCTGGCAGGGTGACAAGCATCCTGGCAAGCAGCAGCTCCACTTAAGTTTAGTATTTCAGTTAACTTTTGTAATGCATCCTGAAAAAGAAAAATCAGAAGTCTCTTCGACGTTACTGACAGGTACAGTTTTTTCCCCCTAACTCAGTATAGTACAACAAATTATTTTCATATTATGTTACTAAAGTCAGCATCATAATACAGACAGCATGGATATCTTTTAAGATAAGAAAAAAATAAAGAACAGATAGGAAGAGAAGTTCAACATACCCAAGATTTGTAACTTTAAAATTGCCACCAGATTGCTGGTCACTGTTGTGATTAACAACTCAGGGCACTTCTGCACGTACACAAGTGAGCCACGAAGAGCAGTAGGAATTTGAATAGTAGAAGGTGGCAAACCATACCAATCAGCACATTACTGACACATAATCTGCTTCAAGTGTCCT